ATTTTATTATTAAATAACCTAATCTAAGCCGATTATGCCTAAATAATATAATTATATTATTTAGGCATAATCGGCTACTTCAACCGGAACCAAGGGTTACTCCATGGCCGATTATATTAATAGCCTACCCAATTCGATTAAAGTCAAGATTTCCGAAAACATTCTCGGGGAATCCTTAAAATTTATTGAATCCATGTATATGTTTATCTCATGCGTCATGTTCTATTTCTCCTTTCCTCCTTTCGTTAGAAAGTTCGTCCCTGTAATTAAAACGATGTACCATAAGTATCGTGACAACAATATATGGTTAAATGCCGAATTAGATAGGATTATCTGTAACAGAAAACGAGAAATCCAAAGTGCCCCTTCTGATCAACCTATAGAGAACAACGTATTAAATTTATTAATCACTTTAAATACTGAAATGGATACCAATAAGATCACTGGTATCGATTATTCGAGACCGTTGACTAACATAGAAATTTCCTGCACGTTAAAGGAAATCTTTGTCGCCGGAATGGACACGGTAAGTATCTTTAAAAAAAAAAAATCATTAATTGTTATAAATGAAATGAAAAATTTCTTGCTGATCAACTTTTGCTCATTCCTTAGACCCGAAACGTAATGTGCTATATCATGTTTTACATTAATAAATATCCCAAAGTTAAAGATAAGTTGATTCAGGAATACGAATCGATCTACGGGGATCTAAGCAAGAAGTTAGATGTTACTTACGAATCACTTGATAAATTAGTTTATACCGAAGCCGTGATCAATGAAGTCACACGTCTCATACCGCCATTACCCGTATTCATGCGTGCTGCCACTTTTGATACCGAAATTGGTGGTTACAAGATCAAGAAAGAAACGACCGTGTTTACGAACTTTACCGGCATTCACTATCATAAAGATTATTGGGTTGAACCCGAAAAGTTCAACCCTGATAGATTTTTAAAAAATGGTGATCATAAGATCGTTAAGAATTCTCATTTGCCTTTTGGAGGGGGTATTCGAATTTGTCCGGGAAGGCATTGGGCCATGGGGAATATGAAAATTTTATTGGTCAGAATTTTAACCAAATTCGAAATTAACCTCGCGGATCCTGAAGCTCCGTTAAAATTATCATATCATGGAATTCAGCATTGTGATGAATTATATATGTATATTAATCAAAAATCGAATGCTTAAATAACGCAATATAAACGCTGCGCCCCGACACCCATAAAAATCAAATAGCCTAAAAAATCTTTACTTTTATTTTATTACTTTTTAAATTTATTTATTTTTATTATTTTTTTTTTTTATAAATAAAAGGACAAAAAATAATAATAATAATAATAATAATTCTTTATTCTTTAAAACTTATCGATTCTTTTGTATCATATCAAAATTTCACTTTCTTCACAACCTTACAAATTAGCGGTTGCAAGCAAACCCTAATCCGATTTTGGTAAAAGTCGAAACTTTTCGAAGATAATTTTGAAAATTTCAACGGTTTAACTTGTTATTGATATCAGCATGACAATTTTCTTAATTTCCCTAAATTGAAAACCAAGTAAAATTAGTAATGTTTTATAATTGTTGAATTAACCAGACAACTGAAGCAATCAACTTTATTGTCAACTTGACTAGAAAAGTATAATGAAAAAACACGTCATATTTTTAAAAATTTGTAATATAACCAATCAAAAAGATTTATATTGAATTCTAATTACATGTCACTAATATCGTAATTTGTTTACTTTGAATTTGATACATATATTGAACTGTAATACATCGGTAAGTATGCTAAAACAAGATTAATTCTTTGACTCTAAAGAACTGACCTTAGCTACTCATTTAATAAATTCTTTGACTTTAGAATTTTAAAGTCTATTTATCACTTTATAGATATTTTCGGCTTCAAAACTTATATTTTGTTGCTGAATTTTCTGAACAAGCTTTCCAAAATCGTGCTTATGAGGATGAATTACACATTTTGGTCTCCCATTTGCAAACATGTCAAACGCTCTGTGGGCTACGTTCATTTCTACATTCTTAAAACAAGCGCTTATTAGTCTACTGATTGAATTTGAATTTAAGAAGTTTTCAAGAAATAATCTGTGTTGAGGTGGGCTACCTATCAAGGGAAGAATTAGACAATCGTGATTGATTTTATTCATTAGAGCGATATGAAAAGGTTGAAACTACGGGCTTATGGCTTTGGATTCATGGTTACGGTACGTTTCGCCGAAACCCCCTTTGCCGAAGCCAATTCACCGAAAGGACATTTTGCCGAACGCCACTTCGCCGAATGTCCATTTCGCCGAATGGACTTTTCACCGAAAAGAAGTTTCGCCGAATGAACATTTCACCGAGAGGACGCT